AAATCTATGAAAAAAGATTGGTCTAATTAAATTCTAGAAATACCTCTAGCATCTATATAAGGTTAGAAGTTGTATTAGGTATTGTGTCATACATTACTAATCTCAGTAATGAGTGCTATGCTGGTGTATTGTTAGTCAAGATTCCAGGCCTCTTTGCAGCACCAAGCTGGAAGTGAAAATGATCATTAGTAATACATCCACACATAAAAATGAATACACTGAAAAGCCTTTGGTGCTTATGCTACAAACAATACCAACTTTGATAGCATTATAAAAGGCAAGTAGTACACTGCAGAGTAACAACTAAAAATTCCAATAAATCTAGCCATGCCCATTTGGGATGGTTGTGGCTTGAGATATGGATCATGTTATGGCAGCATCCCAAAAGATAGCTTGAGATACGAATATAATAATAGCAACACAACATGTATTTAAATCAAAGTGGTACTAAATCAAATATAAGGCTATGTACACCAATTTGGGAGCAACAAGAGTGAAAAACTACTGGAATGAACCAAATTAGGAGAAAAAAAAATTACTGCAGGAAGTGGATAGGGGTGACAAGATACTAATAACAATACAGAAAACTATATATAAGAAAAAGGTGGGTTGTATGCCAGCTAAAAGTTGATTAATGGGGTAATAGCCATTAATTAAATTCTAATATATAGCAAAAATATGACTAAATTGTTTAGGGTGGGTGTCATTAGATAATTAACGTAGCATAACTTAATTCCTGTAATATACAATATGTAATAAGTTCTCAAGTTTTTAATTAATAAAATTACAGAATATAAGCAATTTACTATTAAAAAAAAAAAAAAAAAAAAAACTTTGCCTTAATATATACCATTATCCAAAAATTATAAATTAAATATTTTCATCTTATAAACTTTTTTTTTCATCTTTTTTCTTTTAACTTTCATCTTAAACTGTTGCACAATTTATTTATTTCAATCTTATAGACTTTTTTTTCATCTTTTCTTTTAGCTTTTATCTTAAACAATCACTGATATAAATTAAATACTTTTATTTTTAGCTTGTCATCAAACTTAATATTGACAGTTTATAATTAATATTTTATTATACAGTTGATATAAAAGATGAACCAAGTGTGAACAAAAAAAGCAAAAAAAATAACTCAAAAAGTTGTATTATTAAAACGTATTGCACATAAGAGTTTCATCCAAATACAAAAAGAATTTGCACAACTATTAACATATTATATTTTGCAAAATATTAGAAGCCAAGCTTCATTATATTTAGAAAATTATGAGGATTATAGTAATAAAAGCTTACAAAAAAGATTTTCAGAAAAAAATCAGTATATTAATAGTGATTTTGGGCAGTTTCTTGGATATATTGAGTAGTAAATCGGATATGTTTAGTAACAAATCAGATACTTTGTGTAAAATATTAGATACTTTGAGTAGCAATGGCTAGTCAACAATTATGGATAAAGTTAGACTACAATCAGAAGTAACTCAAACTATAGTAGATAGTGAAATTAATTTTTAGCCATTCTTTGAAGAGTATGATTTTACTTTAAAAACTTTACAGAAATATCGTTATTTATTTGAGTTACTAAACATATAATCAGTATGTATTAATATTATTTATTATTATATCTATTATTATACATATTTTAAATACTAAATATATAACTATGTATATATATTTAATTAATTAATAATTAGCAAATAATGCATATAAAGATCTTATGTATATTATTGAATATTCTAACTTTTGTCTGAATATATAATTAAGAATATTAGAAGGTTAAGGTCATTATGTAGCTAACTTCCTCTCCAACAATAAAATATTATCAAGTACCAATCTAGAACATGAAGACACTATTAATATCTACACTATTCAAGAATTCCTAACTATATCTATAAGTGAGCATATTAGAAGAGCTTGAGTAACAGGAGTTTATTATCACAAATGTACTTCAGATCTGGGATTGAAGCCAAAACAAAATCTGAGTTTTGGCACAGAAATATCTGGCAGAAATTACCATTTTTTAGCCCATTCTCAATTTGATTAAATAATAGTAAAGCTTATGATTTATTTATAAATAATGGTATATATGTATTTGTTAGTATAATTTAAACAATTTTTATTAACAATAATTATATGATAATGTTTAGAATTATATTTAATAGAATCTTTTATTATATTTAATAGAATTTTTTATTAAATACAAGGATAAAAAAACAAGGGTTGGGATTTAATAAACTCCTTCTGTTAATCACTTATACAAAAATTTCTCTAAAAAATATACCTAACAAAAGCTATATTTTTAAAATAATTTATTAAGATAACCTAACTTCTTGCTCTAATAAAACTTTTTCTACATACAAAATTACATATAATACTTAATTATTAAAGAAATAACTTCAAAACTTTTCAATTAATAGCCTTTTAGGCAAATAAGATTCTTTTGCCATTTATGCTAAAACTATATTCTAAACTCTCTTAAAAGAATATAACAGATTGTTCTACAGATTTTTCTCTTCAAAACAAGCTATAATAGACCTCTGTAGCTTTAATATTAACTGAGTTATAAGTAAAACAACTCTCAACTCAATTTACTCTTTTTTCCTCTTTTTGCTTTGGGAATTTTTCTTTTCCCAAACATCTAGAGACGTTTTTGTGCAACCAAGACTGCTTCAGCCATACTACTCACGCCCTATAATACTTTAAAACTAGTGGTGCTTGTTAAATTACACTAGAATTACAAATTATTAATCAAAATTGTACAATTTTAATTATTGCCCTTCTTGTAACTTTTATTCATACAATAGAACTTCCTATTTTAGATCATGTAATACGTGATCTGTCATGTGACTTGTATAATACAAAAACTTTGAAACTCTACTTTTAGATCACTTGACTATGTAATCTAAAAACAACTCCTGTTTTATTTCTACCTCTAAGAAACTTATTTCTAAATAACCCCATCTTTTCTAATCATGTAAAAAGTTTTTGTTAAATTTAATAAAGATAAGAGCATGGTCTCATCTTTAATATTAAAAAAAAAAAAAAAAAAAAAAAAAAAAAACAAGGGTTGGAAGAATTATAGCAATAGTTTCAACTTCGAATAGTATTAAATTAAAGATTCAACAACTTTATTTTGGCTCTGAATTACTAAGAAAATTTGCAAGTTAATAAAAAAAAAGTAAGCAAAGAATAAGAAATTATAGTTAATCAAAATAACATATTTGACCAATCTATTTAATGTTATTAAGCTAGTTATTGTTTGGCTTTATAATACTTCTGAGTTATCTAATTATTAATTTTATGTAAAAGAAATTTTATATAATCATTATAGCCAGTAAAGGATAAGAGACTATAAATTGCGACATCTTTATCTAATTGAATATACTCAACTTTTAATGCTAGCTTCTTATAATATGTCTATATTAAAAATAATATTGAATATTTACTATGATGACTTTGGTATATTTTATAATGTGTATCATTCCTTGGGTAGAATTTATCTTCAAATCTGTAATATGCCTTTGTGGCTAAGAAAACAATTAAAAATCATTTTGTTTTGAGCTTTGTTCTATTTAGAGAAGAGTTTAATAATGTAATAAAGCTGATTATAGATGAAATTAAAATTTTAGAGAAAGGTATTCTGATAAATATTGTGGGTCAGAATATATGGATAATAGCTACTTTGGGTATTATAATCGCTAATATTCCTCAGGCCAATGACCTTATAAATACAAAACATTATAGTAGTAATCAAGGATATAGGAGTTGTTTCATATCTAAAGAATGATTAAGTCAAATTAGTTTTGATATTAAGTTAAATACCAGGTATTATTATATAATAAATAAAAAAATTGATAAATTAAAAGAATTAATACAAAGAGAGGTACTACAAAAAACAGTCAATAACTACTGTATAGAACATGTTTTAAGTAAACACCAAAGCATTTTAAAATATCTAACATGAAATTGGCATTTACAAATATCTCAGAATGCATATCATGCTATAGCTGGGAAAATACAAAGGCTAATAGACTGTATATTTTCATTATTAAATAAAAAAGAAAAATATACTTTTTTAAATTATTGGATAAACTTTGAAATACCATCTGGCTGGTTATGATTCCCTAACCCAATCAAACACCTTAACAGTTTCATGCTTTTTGACTGTTTACAATTAGTGATGATAATGCCATTCTTATTGTGAAGGTTTGTAACAATATCATATATTAGAGGTACTGATTTGGATTTATTGCAGAGACAATTTACAATATCAAACATATGACTATCATCTATACAAATTGTAAACAAAATCATTTTCTGCTAGATAGCTGTTGTGAAGGCATTATGCTTAAGCTTCAGCTTTATATTTACTAATCAAACATATATAGAGTTAGATGAAGCTCTAAAAATTAAGCATATTCTTTTACTAAAGGTGAGTCTATTTTATGTAATTCTGTATATATATATATATATGTATATGCATATATAGATTTAATTTTTTTATTAAAAGGTTAGTATATAAGACTATCGATGATATTTAACTATTCAAAACTTTACTTAAGGATGTAACAAAATAACAATTGTCCTTTAAATTCTTAAAAAATCAAAAAGTTTTTAGCAATGATAAGAAAAGCATTTATTTTCTATTGAAACTTAATTGATATTATTTATGTTATTGTATTTCAGCTTTTTTTGGACAATCAATAATTTGCCAAATTTATATATAACTGACATCATGTTCAGAATACTCGCAACTTTGGAACACTTGTAAATATCTCTGTAGGAGTAAAGAAAGCAGTACATAAAATATTCAAAAGTTCTGTTTCAAAAATAAACTGCAAAAATATAGAATTTGACCTAATTCAATGTCATAATGCACTCCAAATGATTTATATCTAATTGACAGAGACAAAAATAGCCACTTTCAATATATTGAACAGGGTTTTCAAAACTTTACAAGTAACTCATTTCTTCAACCCATATTATTAGATTGATATATGATACAAGATTTTCAAGAAGATATGGCTGATATAAGTAAGTATATTAATTTTTGATCCAAAATAAAAAAAAGAATATATATAAACTCGTTAGTAATTGATTTAATGCTAAAGCTATGTAACAATAGACAGTTTTTTTAAAAAAAAATAACTTGGTATTAGCATAGGTATTTTGTTTTATATGCAATAGGTAACATAACCTAATTTTAATAATACTTTAAAAATCTAACCTTCATATATTTATAAAAAGATTCTTTTTATGCTCTTAATATGGTTTTTCAAATTTAACCTACAACCTTGGAGTTTCAGTGACCAAAAATTTTACATAGTAATATTATTAACATAATAATTAAAATTCTTTATCGCAATAGGTACAAATATCATATTATATGATAATAAAATAAAAAACATTAAAACAAAAAAATATCTATCAAAAAACATAATTCAAAAACTTTTGCTACCTGTAAAATTTGATGACAATCTTCAGTTTACTTATGATCTCATAAGCGTATATGATATTTATATAGAAAAAAGAGCAGCTTTAATACTTAGGCATGTTGAGTTTTACAAGCAAATAAGTTACACTTTACTAAATGATAATGGCACATTCGATATATATATGAATTTGCATTCTGGTGATATTGTACAAATTCAGAAAAAAACTAGTCTTTCTTAAATTATACTAAAAGGATATTTATGTATCAAAATAATGATAGTTTAGTATCTGGTATATTTATTTATTTGGATTAACTGGTTATAAGAATTCTCATTACTTGATCCAATTCTTCAATGCCAAGTTTATGAAAAACAAATAGCTAAAAACACACAGTGGCACTGAGTCTACCTAATTAGTCTTATAGACAATTTACTAAAGGTTTATTTTGTACACTGATATTATTCTATATATACTTCAACTTCATATGATTTCTCAAATAATCAATACCTTAGAAATGAATTTTATTATACAGCAATTTAAACAATACAATTTGCATCAAAGCAAAAATTTTTTGTTTTTTTATTGATTTTATTTATTAATTTAATTCATTAATATAATTGAAATAGGTTGTTATTCACGTTAATTTAGTATATGAGTATAAAAGACAATTATTAATTTAGGTATTTATAATAAGTATTCAGATTTATAATATAATATTTACTATTTAATTTTATCTTATTTACATTAGTTTAGATCTTTGAGCTATTTAATTCTGGTGAAAAAAAAAGAAAAAAAAAGTATAAAAAAAATATATAAAAAAAAAAAAGAAAAAAAAAAAAAGAAAAAAAAAGCAAATCTATTTTTTTGTACAAGACTTTGTGATTTTGAAAGTAAGTTATATTACTATTAATCATACAGTTTATTAAATTGATAAAAATTTTAATTTACTTACATACATATATATATTAAATATAGTTTGTGAATATGTAATTGCTTGAAATTTTTCTAGTAAAAAAAATGAAAAAAAGTTTAATTAATGCATCATTGCAATGATTACAACGATCCTGTGACACCCACCTTTTAAATCAATAACTTTACCAATTATTTTGTTTTGTGAGTATAGAATTTTATATATTTATATATATTTAGAAATATTAATTATTCTATTAGATAATATAATAATATAAATTAAGTTAAAAAAATGAAATTAATGAAAATAAAAGACATAAAACATTTGCTGGTACATATCAATGGAATGTATCAAGTTGGCCATTGTTATTATTTAGAGACTTGAGGATCTAAAAAGATGGAGGTAGCAAAAATAAAAATAATTCTAACAGAATGTATCAAGTTGACTCTTGTTTTATTTAAAAATTGAGGATCTAAAAAGATAGAGGTAAGATATTTTCACTATCAAATGTTTTCTGTTTTGAATAATTTTAATAAAATGTAACAAGTTGACCATTGTTATTATTTAAGAACTAAGAATTTAAAAAGAATAATTTCAATAAAATGTATAAGGTTGACCATTGTTATTATTTAAGAATTTAGAATCTAAAAAGTTAGAGATAATAAAAGTAAGGTATTTTGTTTATTATCAATGTTTGCTGTTTCAAATAATTTTAATAGAACATATCAAATTGGCTATTGTTATTATTTAAGAACTAAAAGATGAAGATAACAAAAATAAGAATAATTCCAACAGAACGTATTAAGTTGACTATTGTTATTATTTAAGAATAATTTTAATGGAATGTATCAAGTTGACTATTGTTATTATTTAAGAATAATTTTAATGGAATGTATCAAGTTGACCATTGTTATTATTTAAGAATTGAGGATTAAATATTCTGATATACAGAATGTATCAAGCAGCCATCATTATTTTTTAAGAACTGAGGATCTAAAAGATAGTGTAATGAAAGTAAAGTATTTTTGTTCTATTAAACATTTGCTGATACAAATAATTAATGGAATATATCAAGTTGGTCATTTTTATTAATTAGAGACTTAAGAATCAAACATTTGTTGATATGAATAATTTAAATGCAATATATCAAGTTGGCTTTAAAGTATTGAGAAGTTGAAAAGACAGAAGTAAAGTAAGTAAGGCATTTCATTCATTATCAAATATTTGTTACTAATAACTCTTAATAGAATATATCAAGCTTGTCATTGTTATTATTTAGAAGTAATAAATATAAGTACTTGTTTTTTATCAAATATGAATAATTCTAATAGATATATCAAGTTGGTTATTGTTATTATTTAAGTATTGAAGAGTTAAAAAAAAGGAATAACACTTATTTATTATACAACATTGCTAATGTGAATAATTTCAATGGAATATATCAAGTCACATCTTTAGTAGTATCACTATTTGTCTTTATTAAGATCATTGTTAACATCACAATAGGTTGTTTGGTCAAGATATTAGGATTATATTTTTCTTTGTAAGTTTTATTTTATCTATTTCACCAATGCATTTTAAACTTTGTTATTTTATTATGCTAATCAATTTTTTATATTTTTTCTTTCACATCTATCTATTCAGTTTAATAGTGTCACTCTGATCATAATTTCTTCCAATTTGTATAAGTATCACATTTTAAAGGCATAATTATAATTTTGAATATACAATTTTCATACTTTGATTGTTATGATTAGCTGTGTTTATATTTGCCCTTTGTAAAAGCTAAAATTTCTCTGGAATCACAATATATAGACCTCACGAATATCAACAAACACAAATAAGTAACTAAATACTATATTGGACCTAATAATAGCAAGCTACAAAAGACTTGGTAGTCAATAAGACTCTATATTACATCATGAGACTTTAACTATTACTAAACTTAAAATAATGGGGTTTGATCACTAATACTCTGCACTAATTTCACTTGTCAGGAGTAATCAACAGAAGAAATATTGAGTTGAGAGTATTGAACTCTAATTAAGTTCTTTTCGAACTGCTTTATTATTGTATTTATAGTTCTTACACTATTATATAGTAAGTATATCACAGCAATACTAACTATACTAACTATGTTTACTATGTTTGTATTGATCACTATGTATGAATTATATGAATTGTACGAAATGTGCCAAATCCACCAGATTCACTAACCCTAATCTACTATGTACATATTAAAAATTTATTCAAGCTATAGCACCTTTCTATACCATGTATGTATGTACAATTATGAGCAATTTTTGGGCTTTGATCAACATTTGTGTAAAAAGATTTATTTTATCTGTGATAGTGTTTTTGGTAATGTCTTAATTGATAATTTGTTTCTGATTTTGTTATATAATTTTTTATTATTATATTTACCAGATTTTTTAGCTATAGTATTGATATTATTGTTATAGTATTAATATTGTTTATATATTGTATTACTGTAAAAAAAAATATAAAATAATTAAGAATTAATTATAATTATCAATATTTTGTTTATAATGTTACAATACAATTATAATATTTTTTTATAATATAACAATATAGTTATAATAATTTTATAAACCTAATATATATATTATTACAGTATAGTAACACTGCAAAATTATATTTTTACAATGCATAGTATAATGTCAAGTAACAATACAAACAACAATATTTAAACTATACAAAAATAATATAATAACAATATTGTTAAATTTTTTAAAATCCAGTAAAGTAATACAAATGATAATACTAATTTTCAGCAATATATTACAAAATGAATTAATATCAATGGGACAAATATATCATTTACTTTTTCTTGTTTGCTAATCTCTTTATCTTAAATATATACTTGCAAAAGCTGTTTATCCTAAGCTTTCAACTATAATTAAAAAAGAGGCTAGTTATTTATTTGAACATCTTTTTCTAAATAAGAATATTAGAAGATTTCGAATACAATTAATTGACTGAAGTAATAAAGTTTTTCTTTTCAATTTTGAAGGCAACTGGGATGATTACTTAATTAAAAATCCAGTATATCTTCTTGAATTATGAGTATACCACCAACATTAGCTAATAGTAAATATTTTTGGTCAGTTATTGCAAATATTTATACACCACGCTAGAATAGATTAACTAATAATAATGCATTTAAATTAACTTGTATTTGGTGGTATTTAACTCAAAAAGAAACTTATTCTCTTAAAGATAAAAAGAATAACAATATTTAACAAATTGTTTATGATACTATTGTGATTGATTCTAATAAAGCAAATATTAAAAAAATTTTATCTATTAATATTTTAGCTATTGATAATAAGATATATAATTCTAATAAAGATGAATTATCTCCATCCATAGTACAAGCTAAAAACTATGAAGATATAATGAAAACAATTAAAAATATTGATGTGTTTAATGCTAATAATCAAGCTATATATAATGAAGCTATTAGTAAACATAGTCAGGTTACAAATAATTATGAACAATTATTAGAAAATTGGTTACTTTTTGAAAAATTAAATAATGTTTCATTTTAGTTTTCTATATATATTTCATACACAAAAATTAGCTATATACAATTCTATAAACATTCATTTTGTTATTTCGCTTAACAATTATAAATATTAGCATTGTTAAAATTAATAAGCAAAAAAAAATTGCCAATAAAAATAAATTTATTAAAAAGCGTTACTTATTGTCGGGGATGATGCTAAAATTGGCTGATGCTGAAATTTAGAGTTCCCATTTAAATCTATAATACCTACTAAAATTTACATATACATTTTTACTAACATCACTAACCCTAAACCCTAACCTATCCCTAAAAAAAACCCTAACAAAAAGGCCCGAAAATTTTTTAAAATTTCATAATAAAATAACACAAAATTTTAGCATCATCCTATTTCAACATCATCCCTGAACTTATTATTAGTACTTAATGCATAAAAAACTGAAGTAATATGTTATAGTTATTCCATGTTTTATCATAGA